CCGTTACCACCACCTCACGAGGAGGATGGGAGGCAAACTTCCATGACGATGTTGATAGGCCTGCGGTAAGTCATGAAATCTCGAAACGTAGTAGGATAAAACTAACTCAACATCGATAGGTGCCAGCGGAGCATGTCCGGGCGATTCTCGGATTCCTGAATGCCACGTACCCGACCAAAGGCGGCATCACCATCGCAGAGTTTGGCCTCCCGGCTTTCAAGGCGTCCAACATGTCTGTACACCATATCCGGAGTGATCTGGCGCAGTCCGAGTTTTACGTCCCCTTCTTGAATGAGGTTTTGAATGCAATCAATTTCGATGGAGTCCACGTCAAGGGGCTGTATGGCTGGGCCTATCTCGATAATTGGGAATGGGGTCAGTACGACGACAAGTACGGCGTGCAAGGATATAACCAGACCACCCAGGAGCGGTTTTACAAACGGGCAATCTTTGATTACGCTGGTTTTGTGCAGGAACACATGGAGTCATGAAGCCCCCTAGTGACAAGGAACTTCTGCTGTACGCAATTACGCTTGCATTATATTATTTTCGAGATAAGACCCGCAGCTATGTATTTATGCAAGATACTTCAAGATGAACGGCACAGTCTCAACAACATCCCAATCCTCCTCCTTGCTCGCATCCCCAAAAATCCTCAACGCGCGTGCAATAAATGCGTAGCTACCCTCGGGCACAACAGTCCGATCGGCCAAGAAGCCGCCAAAGTTCCAAGTGTACCCGAACCTGTGCGCATACGCAACAGGCGACTGCGGCAGCGCGCCGAGGGTCGGGTACCCGAGCACATCAGTGACCTTGAGCGTAGAGTTGCCGCTTCTGCCGAGGGCCACGAGCTCTACGTGCAGATCGGTTGTGCCGACGGTCGGGGTCACGACCATCTTGGGGTAGATGGCACTGCCCGTAGATCCGGGGCGCGGGATGGTGAAGGTGCGGTTCGCAGCGACGGGAATGAGGAAGTGGTTGTCCGTGGAGGAGAGGTAGACACCGTTCAGGCCGAGGCCGGGGACCAGGACGGGGGTTTCACGCATACTTCCGCCGACGCCGAGGTATGGCACGGACAAGGTCTCGCCGTTGCTTCCTTCGAGGGTTATGTATCCGCTGTACACGGGCAAGAGCGTGGCGTTCAGGCCGGAGGGAGGCACGGCGGTGAACTTGACGTCAGCGCTGCCGCCGGCGGGGACGATCAGGTATTCAGTCTCGAAGTTGATTGTCGCCCACTCGTCGACGGTCGGGGGCGGGGCACGGGCGACGTTAAGCTGGGCTTCGCCCGGGGTGAAGGTGTATACGGTCACGGACTTGGCGTGGCCGAGCTTGTAGGTGACCTCTTCGGCGGCGGTGTTCTTCACGCTGAAGGTGTGCTCGCCGACGAAGTGGTCTGTATCGTTGAAGGAGATGCCCGTCGAGCCGAGGATCGTAGTGGCGTGCGCAGCGTCCCAAGCCTGTACGAGGCCGGCGCCCTGCTGCGGTACAGGAGCGAGAATGTCATCGTGAGCAACGGTGCCATCGTTCCAGGCCTTCGGCTGAGCAGTAGCAGCAATGACGGAGCGTAGGGTCTCCTGGTCAAGGGTACCACGGACCTGTCCAACGAGAGCGTAGACGGCGGCGACGAAGGGAGTAGACATGGAGGTGCCGGGGTTGACCATGTACTCGCCCTGGTCCCAAGTCCAGGTAGAGAGAATGCCTCCGCCGGGGGCGGTGAACTGGGGCTTCACGTCGAGTTCCCAAGTTGGGCCGTAGCTAGAGAAGGGGCTGGTGTACCCGGCGGTCGGGCCATTTGTGATGGGCTCGGCGAAGAGGCCGGAGGTCTTGGGCGGTCCGATGGTGATGGTGACGTTTTCGGCGTGGGCTTTCCACTCCTGGGCCTGGCGGGGCATGACCATTCCGATGCCAAGGATGCCCTCGGTGTAGACGTACGGGGGATATAACCTACTGACCTCCCATTAGCCACCACCCTCCTTATCAAAGGCATCTCAAGTGTGCGGAAAGATATACTTACGACTCGCTAGCAGGATAGAAAAGGATATACTTCGCGCCTCTGGCGAGGAGGTTCGCGGCCTGGACATCGGACTGGCACCCTGCGTCCATAGAGATCAAGGGGATAGAATCAGTCAAGTCGATGTCTGCCGGGATTGGGTTGCAGGCCGTGACATTTGCGCTCGCAATCCACAGACGCAGAGTCACGTTCGCAGTGGTGACAGGGGTGCTGTCAGCCCACCCAAAGGCAAACTCACCCGTCTCGTTAACGAACGTGCCGCGCTTCATGAGGTTAGGCAAAATGGTGTTGTCCACGGAACCAATGCCAGCAACAGCCTTTCCCGATGCCGGCGAGGCCACAGCCCAGACTCCCAAGTTACCAGAGTTACCAGCCGCAACGACGACGGGAATACCAGCCTCAGCAATGCGCGAGACAGCGACACCAGCAGCATCGCTCGCCCAACCCGAATCGTCGCCCGCAGAGCACGAGATGACATCACTCCCGTCCTCATAGGCGCGGTAGAAAGCAGACACCAGAATCTCGCTCGTCGTGTACCCAGCGCAACCGCTGACCTTGTACGCGCCGAGCGTGACATCTGGCGCAGCGCCTGTGAACCCGAGTTCGTTCTCCTGCGCCATGATGATACCCGCGACGTGCGTGCCGTGGCCCTGGCAGGTATCAAGGGGGTCCGCGTCAGGAGTAGGCGCGTCGGAGCTCTCGTAGTAGTTGTCCCCCGTAAAGTCCCAGCCGTACGCGACGTGGCAGCCCTCGCCGAAGCAGCCGCCTAGGGCAGGGTGTCTGTAGTCCACACCAGTGTCGACGATGGCGACCTTGATGCCCTTGCCCGTGAACCCGGCCTCGCGGAGCTTGTCGACTTGCGTCATGACGTGGGTGCTGTACGTGTCCTTGGCGGCCTCGTCACGTCTGTCCTTGAGGGAGCGCAGGAGTGCAGCGCTGGAAGCGGTCCCGTTGCGGCCGATGGATGTGCCCACGGGTTTGGGCATCTTGATCTTGCGGACCGGCCAGACGCCCTTGACACTGAGCTTATCTGCGATCTTGGCGGTGGTGATGTCGGGCTCGCCGGCGTCGTCGACGCTGAAGGAGGCACCATTGAAGAGGCCGAACTTGAGGTCCAGGCGGGGCTTCACGGCAAGACCGTCGGAACGCAGCTCGTCGTAGAGAGCGGAGGGGTCCTGTTCGCCGTTGAGCTCGACGATGTATGCGCCCTGAACGAAGGCATCTTCGTTGACCGCGGGTGCTGCGGGCGCGGCAGTATCGTCGGCGGCAACGACAGCATGCGATGCAGAGGCGAGAAGCCCTAGCAAAAGGGAGGCGTTGGAGGAGAACCTCATGGTGATGGCGGTGGACGCTGGAAATGAAACGAATGACCGGCGGTAACGACGGAAGCTCCTTCAATAGAGACGAGTGGGTACATCATGAGCGTATATATAATGATCCTCTACAAGTGTTTCTGCTTTTCCTGTTGTTGATGTCGTGGAGTTGGGTCTGGGATAACGATTGTGCGAGCCTGCAAGTGACGGGCTACGGATCGTGAGTGAACACGAGAAATTGGGACCTTCCCAAATGGGTAGCGAAATTTCCGGCCTATTGTGGTTCGTGGAGATCTTTGCCTATGCTTGCCGTAACAATTGAGTTGCTTGATAGTTGCCAAGCCGGCAAAGATATCCTCGCTTTCGCATCTTGTCTGCTTTTCCAGTTGTCATACTCGGCCGAGAAGTATGGATCAAGATGGAATTCAGAGACGCTAGGCCAGTCTTGAGCTTCAGAATGAGATTCAGAGATGAAAAGGGTAGACACCTCGACAAAAGCAATCGCAACTTTGTACCTTCACTACAATACCACCCTCGGCCGACAGCCGAACTCAAGGTCGTGGGGCCGCAGGTCGTATTCGAAGATCACAGTGGGCCGAGCGCACGCCGCTACAGTCTTGGAGCACGTCACTACAACAAAGTGAGCAGACGAGCTTAAATTAATCTTCATCCTGGACGCTGTCGATGTGCTCTGATATCCGTATCTCTCAATGCCCAACATCCCCGCCGTAGCCGACAAAGCCGGGGCCCGTTGTTCGTTTTAGCTGCCGGGTGTGGCACTTTTAACCTCGTCCGCATTCATAAGCTTAATCTACCTTAACTTTTGGTGGACTTTATTTAGCCTTAGGTGACCCGGAGTCGGCAAGGGTGCAGCGGCCTGCATATGTCGAAGATAGCGTGATAGAGGACTGCATCAACTGTCAGCCACCTACAGCACAAAATCTCGTATTTTAATCTGCAATGGTATTGAACATTCTCGGTGCGTCTTAAAGAGGCAAGTTGTAGAGTCTGAACAGCTCATGTGGACGATCCAATTGGTGGGGTTGTAAAGAGTACAGCGGCACTCAACAGTGTCTTTTGCATTTGGAGAAGCCGTGGGATCCGTGGAACCCCAACTCCAAATAACGCTATCAGAGGCCAATTGATGGCAACAGAGTCCAAATCCCCAACTGGCGCAAAAGAGCGACGGCTTTCAACATTGAAAGCTCACCAAAAGAAAATAAGATAGCACAACCTGGTTTCGATCCAGGGACCTCTGGGTTATGAGCCCAGCGCTCTACCCCTGAGCTATTGTGCTTGATAATTGTGGGGATTGATGGTGAATCCACATTGGGTTGCGCGAATTTCAGTGATCAAGTTGCATCATCGTGAGGTTTCGACGCGTCTTCTATCAACTACGTCGCGGTCGTTACCACCGATGAGAGCTTCAAGGACCAATCTAAGCCATCATTTATTCGGGTTTTGCATTTGGCTGATTGTGATATTGTGTCTATCTTCACCAAACCTAACAGGATCCAACAACCGCAACATTGCAGAGAATTTTTAACAAACGCTCTATTGAACGCGTAAAGGTGAATGTCATCCGATGGGAACTCGTGAACTTAGAAACTCAAGAAATCCTCCTCGTTTGAAACTTGCCTTCCTTTGCCAACCCAGTATTCAGAACTCATCCATCTTCAATCTCTTTGCACAGGATGCAACTTCACCCACAACGGTGCCTTCTCCCAGACCATGAACACCTTCTGCGTCCCTATCCAATCCCCCTCTGTAGCATTCTCAATATCAAACTGCCACAACAACCTCGCCATGATGATTTTAATCTCGGCATAAGCCAAATTCCTACCAATACAGTTGCGCGGCCCAACCTGAAACGGCTGCGACGCATCACGCTGGTCTCCAGCAAACAGCCGCACGTCCACATCCTCATCGGCTGCTCCGTCCTTGTTGCCATCATCCTTTGTAGTCATCCATCGTTCAGGGATAAACTCCTCCGGCAGCGTCCAGTTGAGGGGGCTGTGCGAGGCAGCGTAGATGGGAATGCTGACTGCCGTGCCCTCGGGCAAGAAAACGCCGTCGACGGTCGCGCCGCCGGCGGGCACGATGCGGTGGTGCGGTTGCGGGGAGGGCGGGTAGACGCGGAGAGCCTCTTCGATGCAGGCGAGGAGGTACTTGCAGCTATTGACGCCCGTGAAAGTGATTTCGTCTGGGTGGGAAAAGGTTGAGCGAACTTCACTTGTGAGTTTGGCGAGAACGCGGGGGTTCTGGGTGAGGAGGTATGTGAGTCCTAGGTGATGTTGTCAGTTATGGGTTACCTGTTCTTCCATGAAGCGTGACTGTGGTGGTTGGAAACATGTCGGCTTACCTGCGAGCAAAGTCGCCGTGGTCTCGCTCCCGGCAGCGATGAGGATCTGGGAGTTCCCTTCGAGTTGTTTATACGACATTTTCCCCGCGTTGTACGCCGAAATCAACCTCTCCATGAAATCAGGGACGGTTGCTTCCGTCTTGAGCCGGTGCTGAACCTTCTCCTGAATAGTTTCAATCCAGACATTAGCATAGTTCACGAGGCAGGACCTCTCAAGCTACACCAAGGAGCTTCAATCGGTGGTACACTTACACTCTGAAGTTCATTCAGCGTCTTCACATCCTTAGAAATAGTCTTCGGCATCGTCAACAGCGTCGCGGGAAGCTGGAGCAACTTGGGGAGACGGGAGATGGCCTGGTGGAAGGACATGAACTTCGCCAGGGCGAAGAAGATCTGGACCCAAGTGTGAAGGGTCGACGTTGTCAAGCAGTCAAACGACTCGCCAAAGGCTACAAAGGAGCAGTGTCAGATAGGAAGCTAGAGTTGATGACACACGGAACATGGGATGGCAAACGTACTGAGGAATCCGATGAAGTCGAAGGTGAGAAACTGCAAGATATCATCAGTATCACACTCCCTCTCCTGACGCGCTCGCTGTTAAACCGCCGATATCAAGAAAACTTACATTATACCACTCCACAACATCAACAGGCCGTCCTCCCTCCCCCACCTCCCCAAGTTTCGCAAACAAGACATCAACAAACCCCTTCAACACCTCCTCCTGCTCCCTCATAGCCTTCTCCGAGAAGCCATGCGCGAACAACCTACGAATGTACGAATGATACTCCCGGTCCGCATTTATAATCACTGCATCGCCTTTGAGCGCAGAATGATACTTACTGTCCTTACTGAACTCGAGCTGACCGGGCGCCTTGTGCCCGTAAATCTCCTTCCACTGCGGCGCCTTGATGTACGACAGGGAATCGGGAGATGTGCGCACGACGGGGCCGTAGGTGTTGTGTAGCTCGAGAAGGTCGTAGGGAGTGCGACCGTTTAGGTAGGAGAGTGCTGTCCACCATGGTGTTGCCGCTGCGAGACGTGGGCCTGGGAAGGAGGAGAGGGGGTGGAAGTAGATGTTATAGATGGCGAGTGCAGTGTAGTAGAAGATGGTCTTGTGAGTGATTAGCTATGTTTCCGTATCGTATGTGAAGCTAATTCGACGCTTACGATAATGATAGCACACGGGATGAGCAACAGCCCATGATACATAGTTACAGATTCGAAAGCGATAAACATTTTTGTATGTTGTTTCCAATTGCAGATGAAAAGGACTTCAGAAATCCAACGCAAGTCAATATAGACTGTGAGAATGAGGGAGAAGAGCAAAAAGGAAAACGCAGCTTCTGAAGCGCATGCTCCAGATATACTACTGTCTTTCCAAGCATAAGTCGTCCACCAGATCACGGACGCAGAAGAAGCCGTCCAGAGTGACACGATAGACGGCAGAGCTACCACAGCATCAAGTTATGCAGAATTGTGCAGATCATGGGGACGCACAAGTCATGCACTTCGATACTTGAACCAATGATGGCGCTACAATCCATCAATTTTGGCGAGATATGCACAACGTTCGTTTTTTGTACCAGGAACTTGCATCATTTCACCCTCCCGCAATGTGGGGTCGGGCTTCTTGAAGAACCCGAAGGCTCTGGCGATGATTCCCCGGATATCACGATTTGGGGTCTCTCAAGCCATTCGATTGAGCTATCAAACGCCATGTAACACTCGAATACGCGGAAACGATAACCCCAGTTTCTGATAACTCAATTAAAGTGTGGTCAAATCCTTCAAGGTTCAATGTCTATGGATTATAGTCTTCGACTCTTGTCCCTAAAGCCGATTCAGCGGTCAATCCAGATAAGACGAACTCGCGCCTCGTCGGATTGCGGCTACTGATATTGAGCTGAACACCACCACATCACTCATCCTCTTCCGTGAAGTCCAAACAGTGAAGGTTAAGTATACTTGCGCACGATTGAAGTCAATGACATTTGCTTTTACATACAAACCCGCCGTCGATATTTTGTTCCTCCACAGTCTCATCCCCCATCAAATTCTACTTCTCAACCACTGATTCTCGACGACGAGCGAATTACTACCAATCTTTGCCATTTCACAACTCTCTACACTCAAACCTTTCCATCCTCATTAACTAAGACCACGCAACAGATCCTTGGATTCAAACTCCTAACCAATATCTAGAGTATAAACCTAACCAAGCTTAACTTCACCATCACCTCCACATCTCCCCCAAAAAATGAGGTACGCCAAGCCCTCAAGCGCCGCCCCCAAATCCATCCCTCCCGTTCCTTCCGCCGCTCCGCGAAGCACCAAGAAAAGCGCGGCGAAGTGGCGCATCTCCCGCAATTAATCATACCTTCGGATACGGATGCTTAATCGCTTCATCGCCAAGACACCAGTGACGCTCTCTCCCGAATCGCCGCAACGCCCAGGGGCCCTGTGGCTTGCCGACGTCACAGCATCTTGGTACTGACGTCGAGCGAGCGACGAATGTGCGCCGAACACTCGATGCGGTCGCCGACTTTGACAGTGTTGCGGAAGAGTATTGAAATATAAGTTTTGCATGAGATGGACGGGCAAATGAAGTTGTTGCGCCTGTCGCTGAAAACTCCCGATTGAGGACTACCGCAGATACCACATGCATTGCAATTGAGACAATCCTCAAGTTCACTTGATAGACGCCATTGACCATTTCACCCATAATATTAACACTATATGTAACCGCAAGAATCCTTGCATCTGCTCAGCCCTTCGCCGCACCGCTATACTCTCTCGCGTCGTTCACATAGCTTGGCTATAGCACCCCTCGTAAATGGGTATCCTAAATCATCGCAGTCGCACCGACCGCACACATCCCATCATATTCCGCGCATTAAACGAGTAACAAAAACACACCAAGCTCTCGTGGCAAATGCTGCTCACACTTAGGCGACGTTGCTCTTGGCCCGGCGAATCTCCTTGCCCTTGTCGGACCACGGCAGGTGGAAAACAGGAACCTGGAAGAAGGAGTTGCTGTAGAGAAATTTCAATATTAGCAAACTGAATCCACATCGCGCGCATTGTTCTACGCTATAGCGCGGCGGGGAGGAGAGGGGGGAAACAGCGACGATGACGGCACGGTCTAGCGTAGACCTGAACCGATCGCCGGTCGAGCGGAAAGGTGGGTGGATAGTATGCACAAAAAACTCACCTATCGTCCTGAAGACCTGCCAGAGCGCAATACCACGCCAAAAACGCGGCAAGCATACCAAAAGTACCACCGCAAATCTGCAGGTTGCGCGATGCGGTCAACGCACCGTTGTTGGCGGCGTAGTTCTCGCAGGCGAGGAAGAGGAAGGCTAAATCGAGGGTGAAGAAGAGGGAGAAGAAGACCACGGTCGAGCGCAGGGTGCAAAGGAGCAGCAGCGTCGTGAAGATGAACCAGCCCGTCAGGAAGAAGCCGACAGCTGAGTAGTGATCAGAGTAGTTGGCAGCATAGGGGCCGTCCGCGGCGATGATGCCCCAGTTGGGGGTCAAGAGGATGCCGTATGCGATCCAGAAGCCGCCGTACGATGAGAGAGCAGTGGCACCAAAGGTGTTGCCGACGGCCATCTCCCTGTGAACGACCAACCGTCAGTAAGCATTGGCGCGGATGAAGGATGCAAAGTGATGACTGGTTTGTGATGCTCGTATTACACAAGCTTCTCCACAGGTTCCCCTGGTCCCGGGCGTAGGCAAGCATCCTGTGGACCAAACTTCCCCGAGTCCCCCATGCTTGTGTGTCTAGCTCAAGGTCCACTCCGGCGCAAAGGAGCGCATCCATGCTCCACATGAACGCACCGGAGCTTCCGCTTGCGGGGGACATCGTGGAGACGGTTGAGATGAGATGTTGGGGAAGTTTTGGGGACCCTGGCACGGAAAAGGGAAAAAAAGAAAACATGGGAAGAAAAATCTGGACATACCACATGCCAGCGAGGAGCTGGACCAGACCTCCGTATCCAAAGGCGAGGGGGACGGCAATGTTGGGCGCAGTCACGCCGCGAGCGTGGAGGTTGACGCAAGAAAGGACGAACGTCGTGAGGGCGAAGGCTGAGAGACCGAGTGGTGCTGGGTTGGCGAACTTTCTGTGTTCGTACGGCTTCCATACACCGGGTTGGAGCGAACCACCGAATGCCTGCGCTTCTCCTTCAGTCATGTTCCGGTAGTCGGCAACGCGGGAGAAAGGCCCGGCTTGTCGTGAGTATGTGTTTTGGCCTACTTGAGCACCATTGGCACCATTGTAGTGGTCGGCACCAGAGGTATGCACGTCCTTCTCCACGTCCTGTGGAGGGACGGCGTTGTGGTGAGCCTCGTGTGTGGCCATTGTGTGTAGTCTTCCGGGTGTAAGAGATAATAAGGCAAGTATGTAACCAAAGAGAAGAATGAGTATAGGGGGGTATCTTGTAGCAAGAGTAGGCAAACTCCACGGAAGACGGCACACAACTTTGATGAAGGAAGGTTCCTTTCGACTCCGGGGAATGGGTGGGGAGCAGTCTTTAAGTAATGGGGGAAGAACGGGGTTCGAGGCAAGAAACGATCAAGCCAGGACGAACGGAAGCCGGGGTCGAGGGTCAGCGCAAAATGCAGAATGCTGATGGGCTGGTAGCTTCGTGAACGTGTGTGAACGTCTGGGGTATGTACAGATACGTGGGCCCGACTGGCGCGGAGAACTGGAGATGGATGAGGAGGAGGAGGAGAAGCAGCGTGGAGGACAAGTGAGGAGAGGAGGCGTCGTCTGCAGGAGGAAGAGGGAGGGAGTGGGTCGAGTAAGATCGCGTAGTTGGTAGACTAAGAGGGTGTGAGGGCGAAAGGCGAGCCGTCTGCTTCCAAGGGCCGATCTTTAAAGCCCAGAGAAGAATGAACCGGGGGACGAAATGGGAATGGGGTGCAACGGAGGCTCCATAATAGATTCATTATTTTTAATATTTTAGGTTGCGATGTCGGGTGGTGGTGGAGTGACCACTGACACGGCGTCGGAGCCCGCCATTGGAAGGGGAGATCTGCTGGAAATGACATGGAAGAAAATCCGCAATGGTGCGAATAAAACCCTCCTCTCGTCTTCCCCAGAGGCCAGACGGGCCGAAAAGGAAGGGTCTGCTGGTAAAGGGGGTTTCCATCGCCATATGCTTCGAAGCCAGCATGCCAGCTCAACGACGACATGCCCAGATCGTATGGAGACGGCCAGCCCTCAGACTGGCGCATGAGTGAGCTTGCAGCCCCTGTGAGAATAGCAGCTCCTCGATCCATCCCCATCAACAGTTCGGCAGGTCTTTGCTTACATCCCGGCCATCCGGTCAGTGATGCAAGTAGCGGGGGAACAAATCTCGGGTTGTTGAAGGTAACTTGGTCTTGCCCAGCCCTCGTAAACTTGGTATCCAATGATGGGGAGGAAGGCCGATTTGAAAGAAGAGTCTCGCCATCTCGAGCTCTGAGACATCTTGGAACGGTCATCCTTTCGCCCATCCCCGCTGGTTTGAGCTACTGTCGAATTCCAGTGTTCGGAATACCTAGGTGCGGAAGATTATGACAATTGAGAATACCCAGCAAAAAAACATGCGACGACCAAAGGAGCAATGGAGACGGATAGCTCCCTGCCTAGGGCCACTTGGGAAATCAGTCCACGAGCTGATGTCATTCCCACCTTTTCCGTCACCAGAAAGCTTCTCCAATTTTTTTTTTTTTAGGCGTGGCTGCTCTGGTCGCCGTCTGCAACTAGCAAGTAGCCGGGGTGGGTGATGAAAGGCAAATCATTATTGCATAAGCGGCCTGGGCTTGCTGTTGTCGAAAGCCACCCCCAAAGCGCCTAGCCTCTGACGTTTGTCAAAGGACAGTTAATTAGCGACTGAAATACCATATGGCCGAAGTCTCGTTCATCCCGTCCCCAAAGACGTCGAGGACCGCATCTGCAGAGTATAGCCCGACGTTTCTAGATGGCGCTGCTCGTTCCCTTTACCATGCTGTCCAGCAGCCCAACGCCGACGCAGACACGATGCGTGGGATTGCGGATACATCGCTGAGCAGCAGCAGGGCGACCGGCCAAGACCAGATTGAGCCCCAAAATGCAGGGAGGGCGTGGCGATAACACCTGATGTAACTATCACTGCAGCGGAATTGAGAGGTGCGTCTCCCGTCTGAACGTTTTCGGACTGGCGTTATGCTCTGCCCTGACGCCCGGCCTTCCACGAATTCCGTCCAGATTGTTCCCTCTTCGCGGTCGCGCTCTCATTGGGCGATACAGGAGGACGGCAAAAAAGGTCCCTTTGAGTTGTAACTTGTAGCGGCACATCGATATTACCGTGTGTCATGAATATGGTTGAACCAAATGGCCTAGCGGACCAAGGGTAGCACTTCGGCGGTGCTGGATGAAAAAAAATTCCTGCAACAGGGGACTGGCCAAATTACCGCCACGGCTCTTCCCCGTCTTGGCTACGGATCGTGGGCGGGCATAATCTGCCGGCAGTCGGTATGATATTAGTACTGGCCCGGTTGGCGATGCTGCGGCTGCTGCTGCTGCTAGTAGGCTTCTTGAGAGCGTCCAAGAGAGGAGGTTTGACTTACACCAAAAGACTCTTCGGGGCCGATCAACTATAGTGATCTTGTCAATGGCGAATTCTGTCTAGATTGGAGGTTTCCACTCCCCCAGTTTGTAGTCTGTACGGTGGGAACATAGCACCACTGTTTCGGTCCTGCATCGCATCGCGCGTTTCAACCAATCCAGCTCTTTGGGCGAGATCTTTCTGCCTCTTGCCGGTCTTTGTCGCAATACATCTGTCATCTGGTCACATTCTGCCGGTCACTGTCCATATCAACCGTGCCCTAAAGATGGGTGTTGCGGGGAATCTGGGGGTGGACTGGCAATATCCCAGCCTATTCGAGACACCCCAAGCCCCGTTGACTCCGGCTTCAGATGTTGACGCGGATACAATACCGGGACGAAGAGTTTCTCTAAGGCGTGTGTCAAGCGTCAAGGCATTTCCTCTCTTTCTGTGTGGGAAACACTTCGAGGATGGCTTGAGAGCTCTTCTGTACCGCAATGCAGTCTACTCAGGTTCTGAGCCATCGTCCGTATGCTGAAAGCCTGCAAAGTCGAGCCAAGTTGATCTAAAGCGTCATCATGACCGTGCTGTATTGGAGTAGCCAGGTTTATCAACCCCAACAATGGCCTCCATCAGAAGCGCGCAATCGACGGCCACATGGCGCTGGGCTGCGGGGAAAGCTTGGGCGATTGCTGCACACCCTTTGCCGTGGACTCGATCGACAAAAGGCCAAGTCCCATTGCTTCCGTGTATGTATGCATATACCGAGTCGAAATACACACCTTCTAGTGCGAATGGTCCGATGATGGCACCAGGCGCTGGACGAACCACGACATGTGTTCGGGCTCCCGCTGTAGTCTTTGGGGTCCTCCCTGCCCTGGACAACCATCATGCGTGTTGGCGTGCAATTGCCTTTTCCCCAGATCTGGTGGCTTCTAGCCTATTTCCCCAGACTGCGCCGGCATTGTACGTAGTTCGATTCCTCCTAGGAATTTGGAAGCATGCCACGACGCGGGAGTTCTTGTCTCCATACACTGTTCTTACGTCCCTTCGTCCGGAACGTGGGCAGCCCCAGTTGATGTTTGACTGACAAGCGTCTATCCATTCTAGGACCTGTAACTTCGTACCTTGATCATGTCAGATGATGATTCAAAGTAGCTACTCCAGACAGACCTCGAAGCTTGGGTCGCTCTGAGGGCAATCGTGAATTCTGGGTATCGGAGATACTGGACATCTTCGCTCCGAACCGGCACCGACAAACCAGAGCAAAGATATGGCAAGATGCCACAGTGGAAGTCACCTGTTCTGACGAATGCCGCGCCTGTCCGTGCCCTGTCATGCAACCCTTGACGTGGGATACTCTGCGGTCTCTTCTCGCAGCGGTGACAGTGACACCACACTAGGGCGCTCATCACTGCCTTTTTCTACTGCCGGCTCCGGGGGATCATCAGTCCACTAACAAAATATCACCTGAACAGATACCCATTGGCTCTCAATTCCCCGGCCAGCTGCAAATCCCTCTTCCCTCCGCTGAGCCAGCTGGCAATCCAAAGATGGCATTGGAGCATACCGAGCCGTGCGAGCGACTTTGCTCTGGGGTTGCGTGGTGATAGCAGCAACTAGTAGTTGTTAGTGAGCGACGGACTGGGGAAATCGAGGAGATCCCGAGTAGTCAGCGGGAAGGAAGTCAACAGACGCCACGAATACGACCATCACAGTAGCGGAATAGTTTACAGCGCTCGTAGATTCCAAATGTCTGACGGGCGGCGTAGTCGAACACTGCAGCGTGAATCAAATACCCATGCACTTAGACCTTTGTTGCCTGGGAAGTCTGTCAAAAGATCGCGCAAAGGCCCACGCCTACTTCTTCGACCGCCCCCATGCCACGTACTGGACGAACGGCTCAGCCAGGCGGCGTACAACGACAAACTGGCGAGAATTCGTATACCGTCGTCTTTGTTCAATCTCTGGCCAGCACCTTGGCCCGAGCAAGCCGCCGTTCAACGGTAGCCGCGGATCGATTTTCGATGCCCAGCCCCTTGGTCCGTAATGCCAATGATTGAGGCTCGAGCGAAAGCCGAATGGATCAGGAGACGACAGACACATCAACCTATTCGAACTGCCAAGAAGGCGAGAAGCCAACGACGGTCACTCATTCTGTCTTTCGCAACCCCCTTTTTGCATGGCCAAGGCCGCTCTCGCAGCGTTTCCGTCCAGGGCTTGTGCTGGAAATACCGCAAAGACGCCTCCTAAAAGGTCCATGGTGCGATGCCAAGGTTCATAGGGCTCCGTCAGCACGTTGTTCAGGACCCCGTCCCACAGCAGCCGCCTGCGGCGTGGCGTTCCAGGGCCGCGCTGTTGCACGAAGCCTAGGCTGTCCAGTGGCAGGTGAGAGCGAAGGCTGCTAAGCAACTTCCATTTCTCCGAGATGCGTCCTCCTTTGGATAGAATCGTCCCACTTCGACGCGGCGTTGAGAGGTGGATTCCCAACCTTTTCGCTGCTGTTGAGGTGCAGCCCCCGTGCACTGGCCTGGCAGAAAGGGAATGATTTCACGTCAAGCCTGGAGTCGAGCCGAGAAAGAATGGGATGGCAGACCGGAGTTTGACGTCGGGCCTCCTTTTCCGTCCGTCGGCTCGTTCATATGCAAATGTCTGGGGTGATGTGCAGCCAAAGAAGCTAAGACAATCTGTCAGAGGTCTCCTCCTCGATAGGCACTTACTGCATTTCCTAAAGCTAGATGCGTTTTGGGATCCTAGCCTACAAACTTCAAAGTTCAAACAGTTGCATTTAGCCTTTATTGCCTGCATGCCTAGGAGCGGAAGCCGATGCCAAGAAGGGAGGCGCCAACGATCACCACCGGATAACTCGGCAGCACCCAAAATTCAGGCTACCCATGCATGCCCGTGGCATCTCGACGACCAGTGTTGATTGTTTGGCAGGATGGTTGGAAGGGAATTGATAAGATTCCTTTTTGGGGTTGCTGACGGCGCGGATGCAACCCTCACGTCTCCAATTGACTCCCCGGCGAGGCGTCCGCCGTTTCTTCGTGTAGCTAAAGTAAAACAGATGCAATCTAGCACTCCGTCGTAGGTCGAATGAAAGGCGGCTCCTAATGATAATGCGAGGGGGAGTCGTGTTGATTTGGCACCGAGGTTTTTCGGTCGATAGCCAGCCAGGAGGTCGGCCGCATTTGCTACGCTTCATGGTAGTATCGCTTGTAGGAGAAAATTCGGTGACAGGCTTGCAGGCAGCCCCCAGGACGCGCCAGATGATAGACGGGAAAATTGAAAAAGGTCATTGCTTCGCAGTCAATTTCACCGAACGAGGCCCACCAGGCGCGTCCCAACCAACAAGGTATCCTGGTGTCATCTTCCATGCGTTTTGAATAATGAATTCGACAGCCCTCCCACACGAGTTTGACAAGGAAAGTTTTCCTATAGCAGAGTCAGCCACTATTACAGCATGCGTATATCTGCGAAGCAAAATGTTATCGCGAACTCCGTCGTCATTTTCAAAAAAACATCGCCGACTAACATTGCTTATACGTCAAGGACAGGATTCGAACCTGCGCGACCGAAGCCACTGCCTAAGCTGAAACCAGAAAATCCGATAGCAGGGCAGCCCATTAACCACTCTGGCACCTTGACTGTTGTTGGATATTGATTTGGGGCGCTGGAGGGACCATGTTGTGCAGCGACACCTAGTTGAGATTGGCTAGCTCTCTGTCAACACGACAGGGGCATGCATCCTGCACAGCTGGGTGCCACAAAGCAGCGGCGAGAAGCAGAGCTGCTTCACGGAACTCATTGAAGAGGAAGTCTGACCATGACGAATGGTTACTACGGCTTGTAGCTCTCCTGTAGCAGTCAGTCCGCGAAAGTAACCGGAGGAAGTGTGTGGCAATTGTGCCCGTTGCAATGCCGTCGCGGCGATCCCGTGTCAACTCTCATCATGGCTGTCTCCAGTGTAGGGAACGCCGTGTCAGAGTAAGGCTCTGCGGGTTGATGAAAAGTACGCCGAAAGGTCTCCAGCTAACAAGCTGCCCAGTGTAATGAAGACAAACCATATGCAGTCGCTGCCGAAAGAGAGGACGTGAATGTGTGTATCGACATTTACTAGAGTCGCAAGACACATACTCGAATCTTTCGCTGAGCAAGGCCGCCCTGATGAGAATAGAGCAGTTGCAATTGGTGACTTTCGGGATATGTTTCTACCACATACGCCAACTCCGAACTGGCCGGGCTCGGACCCGGCAGCCGACTTTCTATTCGGCCATTACTTCGGTCATTTGGCGGTGTTCCTTGTAAGCCCGCCGAGCCAGTCCGGGGTTCTGTCAGTGTACCAGCAAGTGATCGGGCGACATTTGATGGCACAAAAAATCGTGTATCGAACTATTTTTGCCTTTTCTGCAATACACCTCGCAATCGTGGAAATTTGACTGGCTCACCCAGAATGTCCATGTCGAAACGTGTGATGACTGGTCTTCATCATAGGGTGTTGGCTTTGGAATCGTGCCGTCCGGCACTCGTAGGGAATTTGACGCCTTCGACTTGCGAAGCAGCGCTGATGGCTGCGGGGCTTGTAGTTGCGTGCTCTTTCGCCATTCCGTTGGCAGATCCGTCCATGGATACTTAGGACCCCTTGAGTCAAGTGATTCAGGTCGCTCGACTGTTCTAAGGGGCTGTCACGCTCTTGCGTCTGGGCCCGGAAGATCTCGACGACGGAGCGCACCAGGCATCATGGCACATCCATCAGTCGGTCATGGTGACGTTGATTAATGAGTTACCGTGGCCAGATGCGGAAGATTTGGTTATGAGACCTATCTGTGACATCGACAACCTCGGAGATCGTGAAGCCTCAAAAGAACAGCTCTAGAAGACGCGAGCGTCAAGTTGCTGAAATGACTGAGAAGCGTGGCTGCAACCACCAGGAGACATTAACATGTTGCCTGCATGTGGCCAGTAACAGTTTGCACTTCCTACATCAACCTACTGCCAGAGATTCATTGCCACTTGCTTTGGCTGCACACTGGGCTGTGTGTCTATTTAATGTTCATCCCCAGCAGGCGTGGTGAATTCGTGCCATGCGATCGTTGGTGCAGTAGAGGAGCATCACTTGCCTCTTATCAAGTGGCCTCTGAGTCTCCCTGAGCGTGATCAAGATATGAGATGTCATGAATGTCTGACCGCAAGGCTGTCGTGACGTTGGACAATGGATGTTGGACGTTGGCGGGGGACATGGAAGATGGGAAGAAGCAGTCACGTGGCACTTCGGTGGTCCTGCAGTTTTGAACATTTGAGGTTCTTCATCCATAAGGTACCTAGGTACTGATACAAGAAGCGGCACCTTCCCTAGGCGGTTTAAAAGTCACAAGAGAAGGAAAGAGAGAGAGGGGAAATGGAAAGAGCTGGACTTACCGACCTTCACCGAAGGATACCCCGCCCATCCAGGTATCCTGACCTGTCTCACCGAGGCCCACCTCGAAGCTACCGAATCTGGCCACCTTCTCTCCAGACGACATCGTACGACTCAAAATCATCTGACATGTCACCAATTACCCACAGTACTCCGAAGACATGCCTGGCACTTATCACTATATAGCTGCAACCTTACTCACTAGGCGGCCGGTACTTTTCTCCCATTGAACCTGCAATGTTCATCCGTCCGATCCGCCGCTACATCATTGCTCTCGTCTTTGGCATATTCGCAGCCATCCTGGGCATGCTATACCACCGTCCCATCAGCAAGGCATTGAACATACTCTCACACACCGCACGATTCTCATCATTGGCTCATATGGCGCAATCAACCCGCAAACCAGTCATTGTCGTCGGCTCCGGCCTAGCTGGTCTGTCCGCAGCACAGGAGGCGCTCAAGGCCGGTGTATCGGTCCGGATGCTCGACCGTGCCCCGAAGCCTGGCGGCAACAGCATTAAGGCATCGTCCGGCATCAACGGCGCCGGGACCCGCTTTCAGAAGGCTGCCGGTGTGGACAAGGATCACCTCTTTTACGACGACACTGTCCGTTCTGGTGGCAAGCGATTCGCCCAAGGTGAGGGTGTGGTTCAGCGCCCGAAGCTCGTCCAGCTCTTGACCGAGAGCTCTGCGGATGCTGTTACCTGGCTTGTCGATGAAATTGGTGTTGATTTGAGTGTTGTTGCCCCTCTCGGCGGACACTCCCTTGCTCGAACCCACCGAGGGGCCGGCAAAACCCCGCCAGGAGCAGCTATCGTGACAACTTTGCTCAAGAAACTTGGGGAGAATCCCGAGTTCCAACTTACCAATTCTGCTGAGGTCACATCGCTCAGTGTCACCGATGGCGTTGTGAATGGTGTGCAATACGTACAAGACGGCGAGCAGCACGACTTGGATGGTGCCGTGGTGTTTGCCGTCGGTGGATTTGCCGGTGACGCTAACGGACTTCTCGCCAAGTACCGCCCGGACCTCGCAGGTATTCCATCAACGAACGATGCACGACCGGCTTCCCATGGTATCTTGGAAGCAGTGGGCGCAGAGTTTGTCGACATGGATAGCGTACAGGTACACCCGACCGGGTTCGTCGACCCCAAAGACCCCGAGGTCCGGTACAAGATTCTTGCTGCCGAGATGCTGCGCGGAGAGGGCGGCATTCTGCTGTCGGACAAGGGCCAGAGATTTGTGAACGAGATGGAAACGAGGGAACAAGTCAGTAAAGCAATTATGAACCTCCCACCAAAAGAAAACGGTGACGTCAAGCAGTGGGACATCACCTTGCTCATGGACCCCGGTGCAATTGAGGTCTCTGAGGGTCATTTGGGTTTCTACTTGTGGAAGGGCCTGATGGAGAAGAAAAAGGTCAAGGACTTGAGTCCAGCTGTCATCGCCACGGTAGACGAGTACGCCGCGGCTGTTGCGTCAGGCACCGATTCGGCCTTTGGAAGACGGACATTTGGCCGATGGAGGCTTCCGGCTGGCGAGGCCAACCGCGAAGAGGAAGTATGCGTGGGCCGCGTCACGCCCATCACTCATTTCACGATGGGAGGCGCATCTTTCAACGAAAATGCCCAAGTGCTGAGGAAGGACAAGACAGCTGTCGATGGCCTGTGGGCTGCTGGAGAAATTACTGGCGGCATCCATGGCGACAACCGCCTGGGAGGTTCATCACTGCTCGAATGCGTGGTCTACGGAAGAATAGCAGGACAACAGGCCGCCAAGGCCGCGACAGGTTCATGATTTTATAGCCTTTCCCTAATGACGAATGAGTTTAGCCGCGGGAGAATTATTCAGCCAATGCTTTCAAAATCATCCACTTCAACGCATGCAAGTGATCGGTTCGTCAATCAGCACCTAATTCACCAAGTACCTAGAATGGTGGACTAGGTAAGTGCATGGATTGCCTAATGGAGGTGGAGGCAATTCAGCCATGGTTCGTTGAAGAGGATGGTCTGTACAGATTCAAATTGAAATCTAATCTACATGATAGAATGTCATAGGCCGGGCCCTTCCCGAGAACCCAAAGCCGTGTCGTCGTTACGTCCGCCGCATCCCCAGTGCTACTGGTCCAGTCTATACGGCTTTACGCCAGACTGAGGAAACTCCATCACCGCTATTTCAACTTCGTCTCCATCCATCTAAGCACGAGGGGCGAACTTCCTGTTCAGCTGTCTGCCAACCACGGAACCGTCCGTGGCCTTGGCGGTGCCGTTTCCAGCAAAGCCGTTGTTGGCGAGCTTGTTGACAGTCTGGCGAGGCACTTGGCTGATGGCACCGTCAAGCGCCGTCTCGGCGATGTAGCTGCACAGCTGGACGGGATCCGAAGGCGCCGAGCCGAGACCGAGGAGGTAGGCTGCGAGACCGGCGATGTGGGGGCTCGCCATGGACGTACCGGAGATTGTGTTCTACACATTCATGAGTCAGTCTGCTTTCCTCGGAGAGATCATCATAGATGGGAAACATCTCGTGAAAAGGGGTAAGCTTACAGTCTTTCCACCGGGCCAGGTGCTCATAATGTTGGTGCCAGGCGCCAGGATATCAACAGAAGCTCCAAAGTTGGAGTACTCCGCCAAAGCGTCAGTCTTGGTGGTCGCCCCGACAGTACACACGCTCTCCTCGCTCGCAGGCGAAGAAGTAGACGCATCCGCCGCCTCATTGCCCGCAGCAACAGCCAAGAAGTGGCCTGCCTTCACAATCGCCGCAGCAGCCTGGTTCACGGCCGTTGAGGTCTGCCCGCCGAGCGACATGTTGACGACGACGCCCTTGGCGCAGCCCGTCTGGCCGGCGGCGTCGGTCGCGACAAAGTCCATACCGGCGATGACGCCCGAGTTGGTGCCCTCGCCGTTGGAGTCGAGGACCTTCACGGCGAAGAGCTTGGTCTTCTTGGCGACGCCGTAGGTTGCGGAGCCGACTGTGCCCGCGACGTGGGTGCCGTGGCCCTGGCCGTCCGTGTCTGAGCTGTCAGCGAAGTTTGCGAGGAAGGTGGCGCGGCCTTCAAAGTCCTGTGAAGAGGTCAGCTTTGCAGGTCTCACTTGTTGGGTATGAGGTTGGATGAAGACTCACTGGGTGCTCGATATCAATGCCGGTATCGACAATGTAAGCACAGGTACCCTCTCCGGCGCTCTCATCGTAGCTATACGTAGTCGAACCCGGCGCTGTGCTGGACAATCTGGCAAGACCCCATGGCGCGCTCCTCTGCGTAGCCTTGATCGTCACGATGGCGTCCTGCTCAATAAAGTCGACGTCCGGGTCATTCTGGAGGCTCTCGAGTTCGGTCGCGTTCAGTGTAGACGCGAATCCGCGGAGGTAGGGGATGCTGCCACTCTCGCTACCGGCAAAGTTGTAGACGTGGTCGGCGTCAGCGGAGAGGGTCTTCATGACGCTTTGAAGAGCGCCGGTCTTGGCCTCATTCTTGAGGCGGACGATGTACTTGTCCGCCACGAGAGTTGCGCCCCGCGGCTTGATGAGGGGTGCTGGCTGAGCGCGGCGTGAGGGAGCCGCGACGGCGGCGAGGGGAAGAAGGGCGAGGATTGTTGCGGCGTGCATCGTGACGTTGGGTTTGGGTGTCAGTGAGGCGTTGAGATGAGCGAGTGAGTTGTATAGTGAGCGAGTGGATGGTGTCTAAACGAATGGCTGTGACCTGTGATATGATTGAGAAGCCTGGCTGAGTGTTGAAGGCGATGCTTGATGAACACGATATCCAAGGTGCAGCAGACCGACCGGTCTTATACCATCCTTCGTCCATCTGCATGATCCCATGGACCATGATCCAGCGCACTGCAGCAACGCTATCTGAGCTGGTTTACGAACTATTCCTTTTCCCTTCCGCAGTGACCGCATCGAGTGGCCATTCACCCTTCCAAGTCGGGCAGGTGGGCAGATCCGCAGTCGATGACAGCTCGAATCCAAGCCCTTCAAGCGAGCCGCATCCATGACCCGACGCTCTCGTTGGAAGAGACGCATCGTGGGCCCCCTGTAGCGGTTTGAATTAAAGGGACCCGCGGTGAGAAGTGCCGGGGACCAACCAGGAGGCCGTAGAGAGCCTCAAGTCGAGACGCAAGTTCACCGCTGGGACCCAGGGGCGGGAAAACTGCTGGTGTACTAGACCGGACCAACAGGGCTGGTGAGCTGGTCGCTGTGATGCGTTGGTGTGCGTTGGTTACAATGTCGTGTTGGGCGCTGCGGACATGGGGTGTTGGGATGTCGATCCCCCTCTTCCGTCCAGGAACATCTTCTGCACCTCCTCGACACGGCAGTGGCTTTGCGGATCGGGCGAGGTGCGCTAGAGACCCATGTTCCATTTTCGAGAACGAATCCTAAGGGCAACTTAAACGGGGAGGCAACAACAAGTCGCTATTATCAGGTTACGGCGATGGGGCATTGTTGATGATCGTACGGCCTTTATTCCCCCTTCTCCCCTTGATTTCGCAGCAGAACAGCCTAATGCTAAATGTTAGCTGCGCTCACATGAGTGGTTGATTGGGTTATATCGCCTCAAAATTAAGCATGAGCTGCCACGACGCTGGCGGGTCTCTGGGACATGGGGGAGGGAACCAATCCCGGCCGGAGAATAGCTTCAATGACCTTTTACCCACAAGACTTGGAGAGGCGATCCCCAGGGGTCCTTGAGGCTCTGATTCGCCCTGCGCCAGACGCCGCCCAGAAACGACCCGACATGCGGATCTTCGTGTCTCACTTCCTTGTGTAGCCGCCAACCAACGTTTCCTTTTCTCTCAAGTAAGAGATGGTGCGGGTTAACGGGGGTCGTGCGGTTAAGTCTGCGGCGGGAAAAAGAAGCATAGCCTAGGGTGAGCTTTATCGGGCGGTGCCATGTAGGGACCAGGTCGTCACCTGATGCTTGTATAACGGCTGGGGTTTGTTGGGACGTCTACGGGTGGTGATTTGCGTAGCTTCGTCCGACCGTCGATGGGTCTGTCTTATTGCGAATCTTCCGTCATGTTACAGGTCTTCTTATCGGATGGTTGACGGGATCCAAGCGGATCCTCGCGAACCGTAGATTGGCATCAAGTGGAAATTAGGTCGTGACCAATTGAATTGCCAAACTTCTGTTTGTTTCTCGATGAGATACTTGATAGACGTCTGCCAAGCAGAATCATGTCGCACTTGTCGATGGTGCGATTGTTCCCAGCAGAGGGGACTTTTGCTACGACGGGGATCTTGGTGAGAGATGGACCATCCAACCCACTTGATATTATCTCGATGCCATCCATCTCTGAGCTTTGGGTTCAGTCACATGGGTTTCTAGTTTGGACCTGCCAATCGTGGTAGTACTGGACGGTTCGGTACTGACTCGATGTTGCACGTACATACACAAGGCCAATACGATGCGGGTGGCCGTGATGCCCGGAGCCCGGAGCCGGCGAAGCTTTGTCTCACGGTCGATACACCACAATTCAGATAGATTCATGTGAGACAAGATAAGAGGCCAAAGCAAGATCGAGCTGGTTGAGGCGACTTCCACCCTTCTTGCCGCTGTCATCCTACGCAACGTTCGGAGTACTTTAGAGCATTTCCGTCGAATTTTCATGATCCTCCAAACTGTGCTCAGATTTCCTTCATAAGATCACCGGGAGCGTAGAAAGAATGGTTGATATTTCACGATTTGCCCAAAGTTTTCCAGGAATTCTTTTCATTTTACTCTAAAGAATGACAACTACTGATCTAGAACGACAGACAGTTCCTGGAGCGGGTACAAGCATGCGCTCGATTGAGTGGAATCTCACATCGAAACGATACCTAAGATGTCTGTATTATGGCAACTTTAGGCCTTGACAGCAGACTGCAGCTTCAAGCGGCGGAAGCCACCGCGGCAAGAAACCTCATTCTGAAGCTCAACCATTCTCTTCTGGTCTCCAGTAGGGTCCGCAGAGTCCTCATCAAGAGTCCACTCGAGGAACTCGTTGGTGTAGTTGGGCTTGAAGCTCTCATCCAGGACACCAAGCCTCTTGCCGTATTTGGTAACCTTGGTCCAGTCGCGCTGAACATTCTTCAGATCGTGCGAGAAGTAGGCAAAGCTGCGCTCAAAGATCTTGCGGTTCAGGTCGGAGCCCATGACGGGCTTGAAGTCGACATACTCCTTCCAAGCCTGCTCCGGGTCCTCCAGCACGAAGTCCGTCGCCTTCTTGACGGCTTTCATGAACTTGCGCACCTTGTCCGGGTTCTCGGCGATGAAGGACTCGTTGCCGATGTACAGGATGGTGCAGAAGCAGCAGCATCCAAGCTCGGCGAGCTCGTCGATGCGAAGCATCTGCACGTCCGTCTTGGGACGGCCCTGAGCGGCGAGCCACTCCTCAAGCTCGACCATCTGGACGTTCTCCAGACCGATGCCGGCGTCAATGGTGCCCTCGATGATGGCCTTGGAGACGTTCATGCCACAGCGCACGGCGGTGTACTCATCGGGTGTCATACCGTAGTGCGATGTCAGCTCGTCGATCTGAATCTTGCCGAATTCGCCGACGTAGCCGATGCGCTTGCCCTTGAGGGAGCGGAAGTCGGTGGTGATGCCCGAGTCCTTGAGGTAGACGACGCCGGTGAAGGGCTCGTCGAGGAGACTGCCGATCGACAGGACGGGGAAGTCGCGAGCCTTGGCCTGAATATGGAATTAGTTTCGAATGTTACAGGACGCATGAGGACAAAGCATACGGCAAGGGTGTGAATCATGGCCTTGAAGCCGAGGTCGACTTTGCCGGTACCGATGATCTCGGTGACATCCTGCGATC